TTGGAAGCGGGAAGACAGTGGTGGCTGCGGGTGCGATGGCGATGTCGGCGTTTGCGGGGGCGCAGGCGGCGCTGTTGGTCCCAACCACAGCCCTAGCAAGACAGCATCAGAAAGTGTATGTCTTGCTGCTGCTGCTGCTGCTGTTGCTGCTGCTGCTGCTGCTGATGATGATGATGATCATCATCATGATGATGATGTTGCTGTTGTTCCTGCTGTTGCCGCTGCTGCTGCGGCGGCGGTGATGGTGGCTACTGCTGTGGTGCTGGCGACGCAGCACCAGAATATGTGCGTCTTGCTGCTGCTACTGCTGCTGCTGCTGCTGGTCCAGTGGCTGCTGCTGTGGCTGCTGTTGCTGCTGCTGCTGCTGTTGCTGCTGCTGGTGCTGCCCTGTTGGGGCTGCTGTTGCAACCCCGTTTTGCGCGTTTGTTGCTTGTGCTGCTGCTGTAGGGTGCAGCAGCTGCAGCAGCGATCAGCAACAGCCACAGCAAGTGCAGCAGCACCACCTCTAGGGTTTATTTGCTTGCGGGGTTTGTGTGTTTGCTGCAGCATTGGAGAGCTGCTGTCTCCTTTGGGGTTTGATGTGGCGCTCTTAACAGGGCATCTCCCTGAAAAAGAAGAAATCACCCAAGCCATCAACGTCAGCTGGGGTTTAGGGTTTAGGGTTTAGGGTTTAGGGTTTGTGGGGTTTTGAAGTTTAGGGTTTCAAGGATTTTAGATTTAGGGCTCCGGGGGTTTAGGGTTTTTGTTATGTTATGGCTACTGGTTAGGGTTTAGGGTTTAGGGTTTAGGGTTTGAGTTTGGTGCGAGTTGACAGAGGGGCGAGCAGCTGCTCGTCGTGGGGACGCATGCGCTGCTGCAAAGTCGGGTCAGCTTCCCACGGTAAGCTGCTGCTGCTGCTGCTGCTGCAGTTGCTGCTGCTGCTGCTGCTTCTGTTGCTGCTGCTGCAGTTGCTGCTGCTGCTGCCCCTGCGGGCTTCAGGCTTCTTATTAAGAGCACTTCGTAATTATGTGCGGTTTCAGCATCTGAATATGCAGATATAATATAAAATGTGTTTTATAAATATTAGATATATAATAAAATTTATTTGTATATTTATTTGCATGCATATATACTTTTATATACATCTATATATATATATACATCTATATATATACATATATATATATATCTATATATATATAAATCTATATATATATATATATCTTTAATTTTTTATTTTTTTTGTTTTTGTTTGTCAGTTTGGGGTTGGTGGTGATCGATGAGCAGCACAAATTTGGAGTGAGGCAGCGCAGCAAACTGCTGCGGGACTGCATGCAAAAACACTCCGAAGCAGCAGCAGCAACGGCAGCAGCAGCAACAACAAAAACAACAGAAGCAACAGCAGCAACAGCAGCACCGCTGCCCCAGCACCAGCACCAGCACCAGCAGCAGCAGCAGCAGCAGCAGCAGCAGCAGCAGCAGCAAGGGGGGAGTAGAGAGTTGAAGGGACTGTGTGATGTGCTGCTGCTGACAGCAACTCCAATCCCAAGGACGCAGCTAATGTCTCAGTGCGGTTTGCTGCAGTTTTCAAAGCTGCAGTGCCGCACAGCAGCAGCAGCACCACCACCAGCTGCTGCTGCGTCTGCAGCAACAGCAGCAGATGCAGAGGCACCAACAACAAAACGAGGCCGAGGTGCATGCAAAGACACAACAAAGGTGCAGCACAGAACAGCAACAGCAGAAAAAGCTGCTGCAGCACCCACAGCAGCAACAGCAGCAGCAGCACCGCCTCCGCCACCAACATCAGCAACAGCAACAGCAGCAACAGCAGCAGCAGCAGCAGCAGAGAAGGAGCTAAAGGAAGCAGCCCCACGAGTGCAGACGCATGTGATAGACAGGGGAGACGAAGCTGCTCTTGCTGAGGTGTACAGGCAGCTGCGCAGGTGTGTCGCTGAGGGGCAGCAAGCCTATTGGATCTGTCCTTATGTGCAAGACAAGCTGCATGCAATCTCTGCAGCAGCAAACAGCAGCAGCAGCAGCAGCAGCAGAGAAGCCGGCTGTGGGACTGCGACCTTCGCCTTCAACGAACTCCGAAAGAAATTGCCAGGCATCAGGCAAGCCCCAAATGCATGCATGCAAAGACCCCTCTACATCACATCTATATGCATATGCAGGCGCATCTGCGCTGCAGCTGCTGCTTCTGTTCGTTTGCATTGCTGCTGCTGCTGCTGCAGCTGCTGCAGCTGGTATTGCGCTGCTGTTTCTGCTGCTGCTGTTTGTTTAGGGTGGGCTTAGTACACGGACGTCTGGCGGCCAGTGAACAGCAGCAAGTGCTGCATGCGTTTGGGGCTGGCTTAATATCTGTCTTAGTCTCCACAACTGTTGTTGAAGTGGGGATCGACGTTCCCAAAGCCAAGTTAATGATAATTGATTCTGCAGAGAGGTAAGTATAAGTAGAAATAAATATAAATATAAATATAAATATAAATATAAATATAAATATAAATATAAATATAAATAT